TATACCTCTTTGAACTTAATCGACCCTGACATATACCTTACGGTTATGACGTCTATTACTAAAAATGAGCTTTGGGCTATTATTAATGTATCTCTGCATCACAAGGCCTTTGGTCTGTCCTTTATACCTTATGAATGGTTTAGATTATTATTTTCTAAGAAAATCCTTTATTTGTGCAAACTAATGAACTCGTATTTAGCGTTTTCTGATATCCCTGAAGACTGGTGATTGGCTTCTATTATACTTATTCCCAAACTTCATGAATTCGAATGTCTATTGAAAAATACCTGCCCTATTATGGTGGCTGTTACCTATAAACAACAATAGTCCAAAATTTTGAAATTTTTTTATTTATATTGTGTAATTTATATTTTAAAGTACTTTGTCAAAATATTAATTGCCGCGTGAGCGGCAAAATTTTTTTTTTGCCATATTACATGGAATTCTTGTGGATTTCCATGGAATTTTTGTAAAATCCATAAAAATTACATGAAAACTAGTCCGAAATTTTATATTTTTATTATTGCTACTTATTAAAATTATCCAACTTTAACCCATAATATTAATTAAAATTCTTATTAAATTCTATAAAATAATCCGATAGAAATGTTCAGTACATGTTGCTATATCATTTTATCAGTTTAGTTTTTTCTTTTTACTATTTAATTTACAATTTATAAAAATTTGAAGTCACTTAATATTAGTGTGGTTTATAGGTAACAGCCACCATACCTTACTGGAAACTGCTCAGAAATTACTGGTGAAAATCATTACTGATCATTTTTCTTGAGTTATGGCTAAACACCAAGTGCTTACTAGCGATAATTTGCTGGACTTCCTGAACCATCTGTTAACACTCCTATTAATATACTTGATGGCATTATGAAAAGTCATCAAGTTTCCCGACAACTTCAGGAATTGTGGATTTTAAGTCAAGATATTTTCAAAGCGTTCAATTCTATAGATCTTTGCATGCTTCGACTCTGCTTTGATCAATTAAAATTTCCTTCTACCCTTTCTAGCTTTATTATAAGTCTGCTTATCTCTAGAAGAAATAGAATCTTAACTCTCTTTGGAAAGACTGAATCATACGACCTCTTGATTGGTATTGATCAAGGCGAGATCATTTTCCCGCTCCTTTAAACCATTTACTTTGATCCTCTTTTAACTGAGTTATCATCGTCAGTGATCTCTCCTTATATATGGAGTTCCAGTATTTCTGCAAATATTCTTGACATCAACAAAAATGAAGATGTAGCTGTACCTGTTAGTCAACTTACCTATATAGATGATTCCACCTCAATTATACATGCCACCCAAATTATTTTGGACTGCCGTAATTATAAGTAAAATCCCAAATTCAATTATGGCATCCCAAATTATTTTAGCACTTTACATAGTAAATTATATATAAACCGAATGAATTATGGCATCCCAAATTATAATTATGACATCCCAAAATAATTTGGGCAGCATGTATAACCTCAATTGCCTCTTTTTTAACAGACCTGGAACAATTGCTTTCCGTTGCCTGAGATTTTTATTTTTTGAATAATATTACAGCAAATTTTTCGAAATATGAGTTGGTCTCCTCCTCAGCTAGCAATAATCAAGTTACATTTAATCTAAATTCTGAAATCTTGGATCATCTCTCTCCAATGAGGTTTTCATTGCAAGCTTTAAAGCTGTCCTCATCTTTTTAATTTTTGGGTGTCTGGTTCAATTTACAAGGATCCCCTAATTTTGTCCTTTCACAACTTAAAGACATCTATTCATCCTTTGTCACATCAGTGCGGTTCAAGAAATTATCACCTAATCAATTGGCTTATTTCCACTTCTCGGTTGTCTTACCAAAAGTTCAATTTCGTTCTTAAGTACTATACTTGTCAAAAACGCAGATTATGTGAATTGCCAGTAGCTATTACAGTCTTTAATGCAAAGCTCGTACCTTTCTATCGGTAGTCCTAACTAGTAGATTTTTCAATAAAGATATCAATCCTTACGACTCTCTTTGTGAACGTCTTATATGTCATTTTTTATCCTGGATTTTGCTCTTATCAACTGGCTCCAAATACGCAAATTGGGTTCTTATTATGTTGCGAACTCTGCAACCCACCTTAAAGTGCCTTTTTCTCTTGATTTTCTTATTGATTTCTCTTTATGGACTTCTAAACGCCATTCCATCAGTTATAATTGGCTTTTTCAAGCCTTTAAATTACTTTGAGAGACTGGACTACAATTTGATTTTTCTAATCATGCATTCTTAGATTTGATGTCCAATGAAACATTCCCTTTGGTTTCGTTATCTTCTGGCCTGGCCAATCTTAAAATGCATTTCTGGCTTAATTCTGCTCTTTGGTGCTTATCCCAAGTTATATATCCATTTTATAATTTCCATTTTACATGGACTGACCTTAGAAAAATGAGCCTTGTTGCTAATACAGTCAACTCCCTCTATAGTCACTCCCGTTATAGTCACATTCTACTATATAGTCACACCAGTTGAATGTTCAAAACACTTTATTATTAAAATCTATCCTATATAGTCACAATCTATCTATAGTCACTATCACACCTGTCTCTTATACACATCTAGATGTGTATAAGAGACAGATCTTATACCATTAGATTCGTCTCATCAAGACGAATCGAATGGTAGTAAGATCGTCTTTCTAGGATCAATATTGACAGAGTTATTACACAAAAACCATTAATATTTTTTTAATTTCGGAAATTAATCTAGTGATTGGATTTCGACGTATTTTATACCATTAGAACCGTCTCATCAAGACGAATCGAATGGCGGTAAGATCATCTCTCTACGATTAATATTGGCGAAGTTACGATACAATAAAGTTTTAAGTATAATTCTGGCTAAAATTATGTTAATTTTTGGCCGGAATTATGATATACAAATATAAGAAATTTTTTATATAGTCACATCTCTTTATAATCACCAAATATGGACTGTCCCAAATGTGTGACTATAAAGAGAGTTGACTGTACTGGAAAAATCCCTTCTTAGTTTCAGCTTATCACTTCCATTCCAAATTTAACTTTTTATTTACCTCTGCAATTGGGTGTTATTAGTATTACTCCATCTTTGTCTTTCTTGGTTGGAAAATTTATAGATATAATCAACACTTCCTTTCATATCCGACTCTGAAATAAGTATTACTGGATAATTGGTGTTGATTCCTTGAACTCTCTTATTTTCAGGTGCATTTTTTACACTACTGATGATAGTACCGGAATTCGAGTAGTTTATTTTTCCTATTGGGTTCCTACTACACAAATCACTCCTTGTTCTGACTGTTTCCTCCATTGTCTTTCTAATGATGAAGGCTCATTGGTTTTGAAATCTGTTGGAGGAAAATTACTCCATTGATCTTATCTATCTGTTTTGCCATCTTGTCATTGTTTACAATTATTCCAAATAACTGCACATGTAGACATTTTACAACAATTTATTAATTTAAAACTTTCTCCTTTTATTTTTTATTCTTATTTTAGATTCTTACTTAGATTTTCGGAATTGTATATTTCAGAAAAATTTCTAGTAATAGATAGTACTTCTTATACGCAATGTGACAGTTCTCTTACCCTTTCCTCCAATCTTACTTTCGTAGTGATTCCTGCTTTTGCCTTGTGAATTGGCATGACATTTTATATTTCTGGAACCGTACATACAGTTGATTTATCAACTTCATATTTGGTCTGTGTTTAGGTACAAACCCTCGAGAATTTTATACTTGACTTCAGAATCTTTTCTTGTCCCATGATTTCTCTATACAATGACATTACAGAACTGGCCTTTGTAACATATGTATTGAATTCCATTCCCTTGGACTCTTCTATTACATTTATCTTTTTACTCAAATTTGAATGCCTATATTCGCGTTAGTGCGATGCCTCCCTCATAAGACAAACCTGATTGAAGAATAATTCCTTATGGTACTGCATTTCAGAGTTGTTGAAATCCAGACGTATCTCTTGCCAATTTAACTGTTTTCCTAAAGACTCTGCTTCTTCTTATTCCATTTGTGCATAGGAACTTATCAAAGAACGTAATTGGCTTGATTCTTTATAGCCTGTACCATTGATGGATACTATTTTTCCCCTTCTTTGAATACCATGGGTCTCTTCACTGGGTATGATGAACTTTTAACTCAAGACCCGGTTAAATACTGGAGAACCTTATCAGATATTTGACGATTTTTCTCATTGATAGAACTCTCCAATCTCCAAATTTCTCCTCATGCAAACTTCCTTCCACACCGTGGACTGGTTACTTTCTTTTAACACTTTCAAACAAACTTTATATCCACGTTTAGCAGTTTCCAAATCCTCTAATTTTGCTCAATTTCACCTTAAGCTCTAGTTCGATGAACTTCCTGTAATGTATAGACTTTGTCAGAGATTTCCGGGTTTATATGCCAATGACTCCTTGTGTCCAATTTGTGAAATTTTCATGAAAATATTAGAACATTTATTCATTTGCTCACCTAATTGTTTGGATACCACAGATGATATTCCTAAGCTTCTGAACCATAAGGATGTAACCACAGAACTTATTGAACGATTCCTGATCAAACTCGCTACAAAAGTATTCTCCTCACTCTGATGCAAATAAATATATAACGAACTCCTTATTGCCCTTTGCAATTTACCAATGCTTGGTCTTCTGGATTTACTTTCAAGTAATAATTATTCTTCATTTTCAGCTTCGTGATTCCTTCAAGGCTTCATTTTATGTGACCTTCCGGTATGTTTTATGCGATACTCTGGACTAAGTTACCGATGTATTTCCTCCATTATTTCTTGAACATTTTTGAAACTTTAACGTGAAATTTATCACGGTCTCTGGCGACTGAGGTGCAAAATTAAAATTAATAAAGACGTGATAAAGGGCATTTTGCCAAGTACTCTTCGATCGTACAAAGGACCTTCTGTTCAACCTTTTCGCTTTTCCGTTTCTCAAGTAGCTCTATCTCAGACCAATGGGCCTTTTTCTCCGCTTCAAGCTTCTGAATGGTCCTCTTTTAGTATCTAAAAATAATGCATCTCAATATCCAATATCCAATAATTATATAGTTGAAACAAAGTTTTTTGAAAGAAGTCTTATCTGTAAAACTAAATATATTTCAGTTTCAAAAGTATACTATACAATTAATTGGAAAATCGGTTATATAGAGTGGAGTATTAGTAGTACCCAATCTTCAACAGCTGTTATTAATATATTTTTACAGGTATTTAATTTATATTTATATTAAATAAATTTTAATAACATATAATTAATTTTAATAATCTCTTTTAAAAAGTAAAACTAAAGATTTTTCTGAAAATGTCAAGTAAAATCAAGTGATTTAAAAATTTTGTCAGGTGATTTAGCTGTAATTCTAATAAATTATTGGATTGAAAGCTTATTTGATGAGTAAGTTTTATATTTAATAGAAAATTAACTTAAAATCATCAACTAAATCATCTGGGTCTCAGTTATTTGATTTGATATTAAGCCACTATATCATATTTATTCACAAATTAGGTTTCAACTTATTACTGCTATTATAACAGAAGTTAATAACCAAAAAAGACCACTTGAAGATATTACTTCTCATTCACAGCAAAATAAAAGTTTTAACAGTTTCAGAAGGGATATGCAAAAAGCAGTTAATGAATTGATTGTTAAACATAAGCTGAGAAATTTATCTAAAAAGTCAATTTTATATATATAGCATATTATATTCGATTGCAAAGAAAATCAAGTTTGCATCAACTTCAAAGATTTGAATTCTATGACAATTCAAACAAGAAAATTTGAAAAAGTTTAAAAGAAGTCTAAATATATATACTTTATATATTTTACTAAATACATTGTGATATAGATTCTTGCATAGTAAACTTTTTGTGGCTTGTAGTAGCATAATATAGCAAATAATATAGATACTTCGACCAAATTAATAATTTATTAGCATATGAAAAAATGATTAATGAGGTTTTATCATTACTCATTAGATTTGCGAAGTAATTCTCCAATTCTTGACGGTATTTATTAAAAAAGATGATAATTTTTAGATCGTACGATTTAACTGTATTTGACTAATCTGGAATCTATTTAAATTAATAAAGCGTTATAACGCTCAGTGGTAAATTTACGTTCTTGACCCTTCTCATTACTTTCTTGATCCAGTCAAAATATGCATGATTATATATGACAAAAATGTTCCTTTCTTGACTTGAAACATAATATGTAATAAACAACCCTATAAAAAATATTTTTGCTAAAATATACTTAAAATAAACTTAAAATTTTATTTTATACTTAAAATATATTTAAAATTTTATTTTATACTTAAAATATACTGAAATAGGCAAAAATTAAATATCATTTAAGTATAATTTAAGTATATAATAATATACTTAAAATATTCATATTTTAAATATCCTTAAAATATACTGAAATGGGCAAAATTTAAATGTAAATTAAATATATTTTAAGTATATATTAAATACAATTTAATTCAAATTTTGCGAAAATT